TTTTTTTTTATCTGTCGTCTCACAATAATTAATAATCGAAATTATTTATGTATTTATTTCAACAACAAAATTATCTTTTGATTATTTTTTATTTTTTAGTATCCATTTAGTGCAATAACAGTCAATAATTATTTATATGTATTGGGTACACGTCGATCATCATCAGAAGAATATAAATTATGTTATCGTTTTTCAGCACGTACATGTGAATGGACTAAATTACAGAATCTATTACATGATCGATCACGTTTTGCTGCTGTTCATGTAGATAAATATATTTATATGTATGTAGTAGAATCATTGAAATATTTTTTAATACTAAAAAAAAACAAAAATTTTTATCTAGTATGGGTGGTTTTGAAGGATTTAAACGAACAACACGTATTTATGTCACTACAGTTGAACGATATTCTATTGAAAATGATCAATGGGAATCATTTTCGACAGATAGTCCACAACTTTCATCACTTGCGGCATGCACATATAACAATTTAATTTATTTAGGTGGTGGAAAAAATGGACAATGGTATGTAGATTTTAACAAAATATAGAAAAACATGAAAAAAAAATCTATGAGAATGTCATTCATTTTAACATCAATATTACAATAACTAAAGAAACATTTTTTACTAACAATTAGGTATTATTTGAAAGGGATCTAGAAGATCGTCAATTAAGATTTGCAGGGTAAGCTTTGTTCGTACTCTGTACACTGTGTAAAAAAAAAAACATTTTTCTTACCCTCATTTTATTCAACCGCACATTTTCCTTATCCTAACTCGTGGAAGAAGTAGGAAGAACTTCAGTCTAGAAGTCTCGTGAAGTCTGCTGTTCTGTTTTCATCCTAATTCTACTCTACACTCACATTATCCTATCCTGCAGTGTACGATAGAATTACTCTACACAGTTCTAATCGTCAAAATCTTGATAAAATGAGATTGTATTTGCAAAAATACACTTCAAACAACTATTGTCAAACTTATAAATAGAATTACCAAGTCTTTTTCCCCAATCGAATATTCTAAAACTATCTTTTTCACAAAACAACGAACGACCTTTACATACTCCTATGGCAAACTAGCATATGAGAACACCAGAGTCCTGTGAGACAGTCCTGAATTCGGTACGAAACAAATGAAATTCGATACTCGAGAATAAGAAATCTTATGTTACTATTCTAGGTCAAAAATTGCTGACTTCTATTGCTTTTCAATCGATAAACGTCAATTAGAACGACGTGCATCAATGCTTAATGCTCGTACAACACATGCATTTCATATATTTGATGACAAAATTCTTGGTAAATTAATTATAGTATTTTTTAAATGAAGAAATTTTTTTTTCTTTCTTTTAGCTATCGGAGGTTTTGATGATGATGGTAATGGTATGTTAGCAATTGAAAGTTATGATATTCAATGTGATCAATGGACTATATTAACATCAATACCTGGTGCTATATCAAAAACATGGCCACAATCACTTGGTACTGTTAATCGACGCATTTATATATCTGTTTTTCATACGTCAAATTCTTTTATTGTTATGCAAGAAGGATACTTTTTTGATTTTGATACTCAACAATGGATAAAAGCTCCTGTTGTACATGAACGTGCACGATATTGTCCAACAGTTCAACTTCGATTTCCAAAAAAATTTCTTAAAACTATGCAAACAAACAGTATTTCATCATTAGTATCAACTTCTAATAATATTTTATTGATGAATTCTTGATTATAATTTTTTTTATTTCTTTGTTTCTTTTTTTTTGAGGGGATTATTAATTGTTTACATGATTCTTTTTTATGAATATTATTATATAACTTGTTGAAAAAACTGATTTGGGTTTTCTCTTTTCTAGATGAAAAAAAGTCTTTTTTCTTTTGTTTCAAGTGTATCAAAAAATATTCAATGACGTCTTTAATCTTCTTTTATGTTCGTCCTCGTTTTTTATTTCTTATTACCTCTATCAAATGGTCATTAATCAAATAATGTAAACATTTTCATATTTTTTTTTTGTTAATTAAATAAATAGACATAATTAATATGACCTTTTTTTT